TTCTTTAGATTTTGAAAATTATTTACTCCGTTAAAAAAAAAAAGAAAACTCGAAGAGAGTGTATATTAATCCTTGGATAATGAACAATGTAACAGCTACATACATGATAACGGACGCTGAGTCAATTTTGATCCATAGCAAAATTTTTTTTATAATACATCGCAGAATGAGATTTTATAATATGGATTTTAATTTTATGCGGGTATACGTTGTATTGTAATTTAAATATTCATCTCTTGAAAAATATTACTTGATTCTGATAATTAAAAGAAAACAAATATTTCCTAAATAAAATTGTTGAAATTTCGGTACAATACATACTTGAAATATTTGTTTCGATTATCTCGCACGAGTCATAAAACATTTTTAATATATGAGTTACACGTGAGTAACCCGGCGTTCGCCGGTGGAGGGTTACCGATACGATCTACATCGTTAAAATACGACTTGGCTACTTGGAATATATTTCCTAAATATAAAAATATTCTATTCAGCTCGAAGATATTCTACGTTTACATTATTTTAACGCACATACACTTTTACACTTGGTAATGGCGTGAATTCACTTTCAGTGAATTTATCGCGGCTGCCATGCGTTACGCTCTTCGCGACTTTGTTGGCCTCGGTATGTTAAACGCGGCTTTCCGGCGACCTCGACTCCACGGACCTCGCTTCCCTCAGGAGCGTTCACCTTTTATCTCGGGGAGTTAATCGAAATTCTTGCACGAAGACAGCGCGCGCGAGTAGAGCAGCTAGTGTTGTAACGCTTTGAAAAGCGTTTCCTGGAGCAGATGCTCTTTGTTCTCTTAGTTCGACTCCATCCTTTCCTCTCTGTCTTTCTTTGCTTGGCTTCCTCATCTCGCTCGCGTTCAACAATGTATCGGTTGGTTCCTTGACCGCTTACCTTACTTGAATACAAAAGAAAAATGAATATAAATGATTTTAATGTCATGGTCCCCTTTTTTCTCTCTCTTTCTCTTTGCGTAGGCTTTATTTTTGTCAACGACGAACACAGCTTCTGAGAAACGGAATATCTTCACTTAAACGGATTTCGCACGTCGAGGTCGCTGAAAAATGCTTTATATCTCTCCCTCCCTCGCATTCTCTTTTCTTCCTCTTCGGTATTTTATCCTTCTCTCTGCTTCTCCTCCTTCTTCCGAGCGTGGAAAAGCCGAGTGCATCGTCGCACGGTACCCGATAAATTCGCTCTGCGTTTGGTGGGAGAGAAGTACGATAACCTTCGCATTCGTGACCTTGGACTCGCGGTCTATACCAGTCCTCCCTCGTTCTTCCTTTTCCTTCGCGGTCGGCGCGCATCGTTCCCTTTCCTCTCCGGCCCCCTTAGACTGATCTCACTCCTCTTCTCGCTGCCAGGTGAAACATGGCCGTCCGACTCGAGCGATTTAATTAGAGGGACGAGTCCTTTGCTTGTCGCGTATCGCGCGAATAACTGCTACCGCGTCGGGGTTGCAAAGAGAGAAAAAAAAAAAAAAAAGGAAAAAAGGAGGAGGGACATACGCGTGGGAATCGCAATAAAAGAGAACTTGGAGATAGAAAACGCTGTAATAACGATTACGCGCCAACGACTCAACGACTCTTGAGGAACAGCCAGGAGCGATAGTTAAAGATTATTACAACGTTATTATGGTATTATTATGGCGCACTGGATATATATATATATATATATGACATTTTTTTGTTAGAAAATTTTAGAAAAGAATAGTTGCTCTTCGATTTTCAATAGATACTTTGTTTTTTTTTACGTACGAGCCGCGAAAAAAACTTTATAAAAGTACTGCAACTGCTCTTATCCAATTTTCGATCGTCGGAATTTCGCGCCGTTAACGGACGCTGATCTCGTTTCCGGCTGTTCGGCTTTCTCACCAATCAGTGCGCCAAGCTAATTTTAGCCTTTATCGATTCCTACCTGGTAGAATTCGGGCTGGCCTTTCGTCCGCGAACGCGATGGATGATACCGCATTTAATAATTTCGGCAAATAAATCGTATGCATCGCAAAAAATTGAGAAACATTGATCGCCATTATAAGTATCCTGCTTGAAACTTTCTGCTGATAATAATATTTTTATTGAATATTTACGCGAGTTTTTTAGAATATATTAGATATTGAAAATCATGATAACATCCGAAAGTCTTGAAGTTTCGGAATCTTGGGACCTTGAAACTTTGACGCGAATCGACGGCAACTTGGTACCATGGGACTTTGAAATCTTAAAGAAGCTTGAAGCTTTAATAGATTCAAAGATTACAACACTTTGAGTCTTGAAACCTTGTAACAATGCTAATTTTTGACAATTTCGAAAATTTCGATCTTCTGTATGCACGTTATGACGAAAATGCGAACCTTTTTTTTTCCAGTTAAAAGAAGATTTAATGAGAATCGCGCTAATCTTTCCGTAAACATATATATCGTAGCTTATTCGAAACGTAAAGCAATGCGTAAATATTTCAACTCCACTAGGATTTTAACAATATTACATATATATTTCTGCAACGGATTGATAGCATTTAATAGGCGCCTGTGTAAAAGACACATGTCTGTTGCAGTAACGTCATTTTCACGGTGAAAACCGTCTCGTTGCGCGAGCAATATGGGACGTTGCGTTATGCCACAAATAAGCGAGAGAGCCGGACTCCCGTTTAACATTATAAATATCGGCCATACATACCCGATATGTATATCGATCGATGTCTCTGACACAACGTGCGTCGTTGTAAACAACCTCACCGCAGTGAAACGAGTCAGAAATAATTTCCGCTCTTTTCACGACGCTTTAGAAAGCTGGATATCACATAAATAGCACATCGGCGTGTTACTCACTAATGTGTAACTAGTAGTATTGCTTGAATTGCCGACGATGGATCGCGCAAAGTGGTAGAGATTTTTTATCTTACCCTTAATTCAATTTTATGCAACAAAAAAATCGTCAATCAAATAATGTCAAGTCAAAGTTAATACGTACGTAAATTAAATAATAAAATGGACAAATTGAATTATAATTGACAATGAGATATATTTCAAATAAAATACACACCGCACTGTGAAACATTTTTAGTTTTGCTACAATTTAAATTTTTAGAATAGTATCGAAATTGGACGGTTTACTGTATATATTTAGCAAGAATCATCTTATATGGCAGACATCCTTGACTCGAATGCCATTATGTGTATAAAAATTACGTCGCTAATGCATAAATAAGCACCCTTCGAGAGTTCCTGTCACGTGGACAGGATAATTAAGAAAGTTTTCTTTTAACGGGCGGAAGATTTTCTCCGCGCTTTGAAACATCGCCCCGGGCAATGTCGCGTCTGCAATAAACGAAGGGAAATGAGCCTCCATAAATTAATAAACCTTTGGCACTCGCGCAGCACATTTCTCTCACATTAAAATTGCATACTGTGTTTATGTTACCGCAGCCGTCGAGTCCCGTTCTACACTGTAGTCGATGGTGTGTAACGTAACATAAAAGTAAATTTCAGGGGCCGCCGGCCATCGTTGAAAAATTGATTGCAAGGCCGAGAGGTGCAGCTTCGACATAGTATTTTTCCTTCTCACAACCTGCCGCAACCATAAATCCTTCATCGCTTTTGCAAAATACATTTCGGAACGCGAAGCCGGAAAATAGAACTTCGGAATTCTCATCCGTGAAATAATAGTGATTGATAAATGTAATAAGGAAAAAATGCCAGAATAAATGTATCTGCAAGTTTTAATTGTGAATATTGAAATAGGCGGAAAAAGACTTAAAATAAAAATAGGCTATAAGAGCTTTAAGAAATACAGAACGTGATTGATGACATCTTTTTTTATTTTAAAATTATTCTTATAGCATATCCAATCTTCTTTTTATTTCTACTCTTCAATTGTTTCTTGTTTCTCTCATTTATCTCAGTCACTGAAACTTGCAATCATTTATCTGGGTTTTTTATTACATTATATCAAATATCTTGATAAAATTCAAACTGGAAGTCCATTAAAATAAACTTGATTCAAAATATAAACAAAAATAAGTTTGAATAGAAATAGAAAGGATTTTGTTTTATTTCAATATATTTTATCGAGAAATAATCGACAAATTCGTGTCAATGGCATCGTTATCAAAATTTGGCCACTTTATTCCATTTCACGGTAATTTGCGAATAATTTGCATAAATTCACCCTTAGGCTCTCCTTAGAACGAGGAGTGACTAGCTACAGTATAATGCAGGTAATCCTAAAAAGGAAAAAAGGAGGAGGGACATACGCGTGGGAATCGCAATAAAAGAGAACTTGGAGATAGAAAACGCTGTAATAACGATTACGCGCCAACGACTCAGCGACTCTTGAGGAACAGCCAGGAGCGATAGTTAAAGATTATTACAACGTTATTATGGTATTATTATGGCGCACTGGATACCAGTATAATATAATAGATTACCATCGTCGCGATGCGAAACAATACGATATTCTTTCGTCACTATCTGGACGATACGAGCTGCACGGATAAAATATTTTTAACAGCGTGCTATTAAAACTTTGTTTTACACGAGTGTGTATATAGCAGCAAAAGATTAAGAGAGGGGAATGACATGTGAGCTTTTCAAAAATCAAATTCCACTTTTTGTAAACTTTTTAATTTTAGTATGAAAGCACTAATTATCTGTTCTATAATATTAAAATTAAAAAATTTGCAAAAAGTGTAATCGATCAGCTTAGTTTTTGAAAGGCTTATATATCAAAATCTGCGTATAATTAACGATGTTTCAATAAAAAGTTTAATAAAAAAAGTTTCAATAAAAAAAATCACTAATTGGTGGAGAATAAAAATTACGCGAATATAATAATTGCTAATCTTTTACAAATGACAATTGTTAAAAAATGGAACTGTAGAGCATTTTTTCCGATCGAGGTAGTCTCTATAACGGCGCGCGTTCTATTTCTAAAATGTAACAACGGAATGAGAGCGCTTTAAACTAATTGGTATGTCTTTCTACTTGCAGGGATGCCGGTTGACTGAAGATGGCCTCGCCGACACCCTCGCTGGAATCGCGCGCGAATTCCCTCGGGTCCCCGGTCTCGCTGTCCCCAGTAACAGTGAGCGGCAGTTCGCCGCCTGCTAGCGACTCGGCGATCTGCGACGTCGACAGCTGCGATTTGTGCCTGGACGCGCCAAAGTCGGGCGAGGATCCGTGCCCGCGCTGCCGGCTGGGTAGCACCGGTCGCACCCGCTGCACCGGCTGCAAGTCCAGTTCGGCCGACGCTGTGGCGCGTTGTTACAACTGCGATCAGTTTCTCTGTCCGAATTGCGTAATGGCGCATCAGTTTATGCTCTGTTTCGAGGGTCATCGGGTGCTGAACCTGGCCGACTCCAAGTTGGAGACCGTCGGCGGCAATGGCAGCGGCGGCGGTAGTGGCGGTGGCGGTGGCACGATTACCGCCACAACGGAATTATCCAAGACCACCTGCAACGGTAGCAACGGCGGAAACGGCGGAGGTAACAGCTTAGTGATCAATGGTAGTAGCGGTAACGGCAACAACAGCGAGAAGGTGCACTTTTGCACACGACACAAGCAGGAGATAATCAAGTATTTCTGCCGGAGCTGCAACGTGCCGATATGCAAGGAGTGCACGCTGACGGAGCACGCGGCGCCGCTACACGACTGCGCCCACATCTCGGACGTGGGCGCTCAGCAGATCGAGGCGTTGGTGCGGACCGTCCAAGAGTGCCGCGCAAAAGCGGCGGACGCCCGTGCGGCCGTCAAGGCGGCGGATCACAGTGCCGCGGTGCTACAGGTGCAGTATCATAAGGCGCAGAATGAGATCAACGATACATTTCAGTTCTATCGATCGATGCTGGATGAGCGGACGAGGAGTGACTAGCTACAGTATAATGCAGGTAATCCTAAAGTCTAAGTTAGCACAAAGTGTACGGTCGCTCTTTATTACTTCACCGTGAAAAATTGTTTGCGCAACGAACTGCATTACAATTAGCAATTAACATTGCGCGGTGACCCTATGTTAATTAGAATAATAACCGTGATACGCGCACAGTCACTCTTAATCTTAATCGCGCCCCGGAAAAAGTGATAAAATTTTTTTCTGTTAACTTTGGCCGGAGAAATTGCAGGTTTAGGTATATCGTACGAAATACTCTGCAATTATATTAATTGCAGAAACGCGTGTTTTGTATTATTATTATTATTTCTTTTCTCCTTTGTATGTGTTTTTTTTAATCCTGAACGCACCAAAACTGTAAAAGAGAAAAATTTTTATTATGTCATAATAAAGTATATAAAGAAAATATATGATGGAAAATCACACACACAACGCATATCTTATAATTATTTATCGTTTTTATTTTTGATTATTTTATTGTATCTAAAAAAATAGATAATTATGGAGAATAAATATATTATATAAAAAATTATATAAATTAAAACAACAGCGAGAAGGTGCACTTTTGCACACGACACAAGCAGGAGATAATCAAGTATTTCTGCCGGAGCTGCAACGTGCCGATATGCAAGGAGTGCACGCTGACGGAGCACGCGGCGCCGCTACACGACTGCGCCCACATCTCGGACGTGGGCGCTCAGCAGATCGAGGCGTTGGTGCGGACCGTCCAAGAGTGCCGCGCAAAAGCGGCGGACGCCCGTGCGGCCGTCAAGGCGGCGGATCACAGTGCCGCGGTGCTACAGGTGCAGTATCATAAGGCGCAGAATGAGATCAACGATACATTTCAGTTCTATCGATCGATGCTGGATGAGCGGAAGCAGGAGCTGTTGAAGGAACTCGATTCGGTGTTCTCAACGAAGCAGATTTCCCTCAACGTACTCGGGCAACGCGCCAACGAAATGGCGGACAAGATTATGCAGGCCTGCGACTTCGTCGAGCGCGTTACCAAGGTTACCACCATTACCGATCTCCTCATAGTCAAGAAGGTCTTCGAGTCCAAACTCCAGACGCTGCTCAATTACACGCCAAACACGGACATAGCCAATCAGACCGCGGACCTCGAGTTCGTCAGCAATTACCAGGCGATACAAGTAGGCGTGAGAAATACTTTCGGTTACGTGCGGAGTAGTAGTAGTAGCGAGAACAGCGCCGGCTCGATTGGCAAGCAGCCACCGATCGCACGACCTACCGCCTTGTCGAGCAACGGCATCGGCAGCAGTGGCAGCAACATCAGCAACGGACCAGGAAACGGAGCGGGCTCCTTAGGCGGTCTTCTCCTGGACCGTACTTACAGTAACGGCCTGATCTCCTCCAGTATGAATTGTGGCTCGTCGTCGTCGCCTTCCTCGATCGACACCATCAGCACCGTGATCTCGAAACGTTTCAGCTCGGCCAACAGCCTAGGCCCATTCTCCACGACGATCAGTGATGTCAATCTGAACGGCATGAACGCCAATCCGTACGAAAAGTGGAGCAACGGCGGTAACGACGCTTATCCGGTCGTAACGACAAACGACCATTTCGCGATGCCGTCGGCGGTAGCCGTGGCGGCGAATAACGCGCCCGGCGATTCCGTCCTCGATCTGACATCCAAGTTGATGTCCGCTACCGCAATATTCCAAAATAATAATTATCTAAATATAGAAATAATTTTATGTAAATTACAAGTTTTAGAAAAAATGTATATAATCTTATTTAGAAACAAGAAATTACAAGTTTTAAGCGATGAAAGAGAGATATATATGTCTCTTATAAGAATATATTCTCAAAGTCAGGATTAAAAACTGATCTATAATCTTAAATCTGCCTTTATGAACACACATTGTAGATATATTTTATGATTAACTCATTCATATCCAACATAAAAGCGTACCGCTTTTTTTGTCATGTTACACTCACATCCGTCATTTACGTCCTGCGGGTCGCATTGTGTAAGATTCTTAAGGCTCTTGATCATGGATGGTACAAATACAAGAAGATGACGCATGCGGGCGATGTTATAATGTTGCCCCCGATGCTTCCGTTAGGCATAATTGTTTCTGCCGCCATTAAGAGGACCGAGTATCCTCTTTCCTTCTCATATTTCATGAAGCATAAGAATAAAGCTTAAGCTTGGTCTCACGGAAATTTTTATAATATTAAATTAAGAATAATGAAAATTTTACTGAGTTTTAAGAAAAATAAATTTAAAGCATAATTTAATTGCATATAGGATACTATATTTTCTACTTTAATGCTGAGCAAATAATTTAAAAAGCATTTGAGGAGCAAGCAGTATATAATTCACATTAACACATTCACATAATAATTTTATTTCATATTTTACTTGGCGCAAATATAAAAGTATATAATGCTGACAATATATGTATATATTTAAAATATAATTTTATTTTCTGAGAAAAATGTCAATTAAGTTGATTTGACTTAACTACGCGATGCCGTCGGCGGTAGCCGTGGCGGCGAATAACGCGCCCGGCGATTCCGTCCTCGATCTGACATCCAAGTTGATGTCCGCTACCGCAATATTCCCTCCCAAATCGCAGATCAAACGGCAGAAGATGATCTATCACTGCAAATTCGGCGAGTTCGGCGTAATGGAGGGCCAATTTACGGAACCGTCGGGCGTTGCCGTAAATGCGCAGAACGACATCATTGTCGCCGACACAAACAACCACCGCATTCAGATCTTTGACAAGGAGGGCAGATTTAAATTTCAGTTTGGCGAGTGCGGTAAACGCGACGGTCAACTGCTTTACCCGAATCGGGTCGCAGTTGTGAAGACGTCCGGCGATATTATCGTCACGGAACGTTCGCCGACACATCAGATACAGATTTACAATCAATATGGTCAGTTTGTGCGCAAATTTGGCGCAAACATCCTCCAACATCCGCGTGGCGTCACCGTCGATTCGAAGGGACGTATTGTCGTAGTGGAGTGCAAGGTAATGCGCGTCATTATCTTTGATCAGACCGGCAATGTCTTGCAAAAGTTTGGCTGTTCAAAGCATCTCGAATTCCCGAATGGCGTGGTGGTGAATGACAAACAGGAGATCTTCATCAGCGACAATCGCGCCCACTGCGTCAAGGTTTTCAATTACGAGGGTGCTTATCTACGACAGATTGGCGGTGAGGGCATCACCAACTATCCTATCGGCGTAGGCATCAACACTCACGGCGAGATACTGATAGCGGACAATCATAACAACTTCAATCTAACCATCTTCACGCAAGACGGTCAACTGGTCTCAGCCCTCGAGAGCAAGGTCAAGCACGCGCAGTGTTTCGATGTGGCGTTAATGGATGACGGCTCGGTAGTGCTCGCCAGCAAGGACTATCGGCTGTACATATACCGTTATGTGCAGGTGCCGCCGATCGGCATGTAGAGCAGCGACGCGTCACGACGACGACGATGATCGTCGTGCGCCAGTGTCAACATTTGTCATCGTATTATCACCATCATTCTCGTTATCATCATCATCGCCGCTCCACATCATTGGACGGCCGCGCGGGATTACCGCGATCTCGTCGATCTTTCCTTTCACCTACGCTCGCCTGTCTTCTCCTACATCCACCGTTCTATCACCAACGCTCGCGCGATCAATTCACCACTGTTGCCATCACCTTCTTCGCCCGCCCCCATCTACGAGACGTTTCACGAACCGCCGACCATTAGAGAAGGGGCGCATCATACGCTCCGTATACGCGAGGATTTGACTCCCTCGAGCGAGTGTCGTTCACGCGGCAAGAATGGAGTCTTCGAAGCGTTTCTCCTGTGGACTCCGCCGTACGATATTATCGGACATCATCGACATCATCGACGGTATGCGAGAAAGCATAGCGCGCGCGCGTTTCCCTCGATACTTTCTCCGCGTCTTCGCGAGCGGCGGCCCGTTTTGCGCGGACGAAAAGGAGGAGAGACACGCGACGCCCTATGTGTAACTCTCGCGACGTCGAATGTCGAGGACCCGCAACAAGAGAGAGAAAGAGAGAGGACGTAATCAACCTTGCTGCCCCGACAAATTCGCGCGCGCTCCTTTCTTCGCGCGTACGCGCCGTATATACGCGTGCGCGTGCGCGATAACTTACTTGTTAATGTTGTTATAATACTGAAAATACTGTTGTTGTTGTTTAGTTGTAGAGCTCGCCGCCGCTAGTCACTTCCCCCCTCGCCTTCCACTCTTCCCTGTCCTCCTTCCTCTTCCCTTCGCACCCGTTACCAATTCCCCCTTCATCCCGAACTAACCACGATCTTCTCTCTGAGACCTTGTCCGATAATTACACACCGAGAAGCGCGTTTCTATTCGACGACACGGGCCGTGCAAACGTCACGCGTGCCTGAATCGACGCGCGTTTACACGTTTTCGTTGCTCTCTCCGACGTGGTGGTCGATCAGTGTGTCATTTCCAGTCACCGCGGTTCGAAGCGTCCTCGTGCAAAAGCTCGCGAGGACCGCATTGTCGCAGATACTATTATTTCATCGTATTCTCTTGAAAGATCCACTAAGGTCCACGCGATATTGCAACCGTTTGCGCGGATCTTAATGGTTTCAGTCTCTGGTCCTACGACGGGACGAACGAAACTGGAAACCCTCTATTGAACGGCTTGTATGGTCTTAGACTGCAAGTTACTAACCCATACACATTGTCAATATGTCTCGAGCGGTCTTTCGTTAACTGGTTTCTCAAATTGTTTGCGCGCTATCTGAATGGATAATTGGTTGATTTTACTAAGGTAAAACAACCAATTGATCCATGCGACATTGATATGATTACGCCAAATAGTTTGAGAAAGTATTTAGATATAATTATTAATTATATTAGATGAAATTTCAATATAACATTTCAGTATAGCGTCGACAGATTTAGGTGACAGGATCGTTGAATCGTGTGCGGAAGTGTGTTTAATAGAGCTTTGCTGATCATCTGAGACCAACGATGATTGAATCGTCGCGAGAATCGTAGATTTCCAATAAACAAGACGTCTATATGTTTACGAATCGATAGATCGATCGGTATCCCCGTCATCAAATTCCCTCTGCGATTATTTTCGCATCCGGATTTTTTTTTTTTTTTTTTTTTTTTTTTATTTTTTTTCGAAAGGATTGAGAGAATTATGAGTCTTATTTTTTTTTTTTTTTTTTTTGTATAATGATTATCGACAATTCCTACGGAAATTCATCCTGAGGTGCGTTTCGTATTTAATTATGACTGCGACGATGTCGAACGGTCATCGTGCACGTGTTTATTTCTCCTCAATTCAATTTATTGTTATTGATTAGTTTTTTTTATCTAGTTAATTTCTAATTTATCTCTCCTGTGCATTTCTGTTATTTTATCGCGACGTTGAATTTGAGCCGATCTATATTAAATACTTAATCGTACGCACATTTTTTCTAGTTAGTTTTATCACTGTAAGATTCGCGTTGATAAATTTAGCAACCGCTCACTTTTATTGGCAAACGACATTATTCAATACATTAAAAATATTATTCTTCGCGAAGAATACATAAATAATTTACCTTTGGAAGCAAAGTACGAAATCCTGATGTAAGTAAGTCGCTCATAGATTGACGGCGCAGATAAATTGACGGAGAATAAAGATTGTTTAATTCACACGGAGAGACATGCAGGAATCGTCGAGCGTTCGTAGAGACTAGAATGGCGTAGTATTATATTAGGAATGAAGTTTTAAGAAAAGAAGTAGAGTGCACACATAGCATTTTCAGCGTTTCCGCTATGTACAATTGACGACATTAATTTGCCGAAATTTATTTTCGGCTTTTGTAGTAGAAAATGTAGCAATCACGCATGTTTATCGTTTATATCATCATCCTCAACGAACGAAAGCATTGCTTTCTCCAACTTCCCATCCTTGGGCTCTTCTTTCTCTTCTCTTCTTTTCTTTTTTTATTTTATTTTATTATTTTTTTATTATCATTATTATCCTAGTAGTATCGTAGAGCGTATAGTAGCTATTAGTCATTTTAGTAAGCGTGTAAGACTTTCCTTTTTTCGCTCTGTATCTCGTTCTCTCGATAAGTTATCACAACTACTGTGGGACATATTTCTGTTTTTCTCTGATTTCCGCTTGTGTCGTTGCTGCTTTACGTTCTAGTATTTCGATAAAAACGCCAACGAGATTAGAACCAATATCCTCCAACTACCCCTTCCCCGACTGCCGCGCAGCCGTTTTAGGTTCGCGTCGGCATCATCGTTTATTCTGCAACTTATAGTATTAATATATTTTGTTGGATAGAGATAAAGAATCACGCCAATCATACACACATGCGGGAATTCCCATAGTTCTCCGCCGCGCGACTCCACGCACGTACATGTTTGCTCTATTATTATATTATATTTTTATTAATATTATTGTATTTTTTATTATTATATTATTACTATTATTAATGCTTGTGTGTTGCGACTTTCGATGTGACATATTCGATTGCCAATACGAGACGTTATTCAACGCCTCCCTTCCCCTGGTGGTATACTATGAAGGGAAAAAGGCTAGCTGGCATATAATCCTAATTTTAACCCTATTACTCGACTACGAGGCCTCGCGGATTACAGATCTTCGATTACCGAATTATCGTCGCTTGCGCAAACATCCGGCGCAATTCCGGAAGTTTCGGAGAGTTCTCCCAAATCGATCCAAAGCTTTCGAAGTTAGCGCTTAATCATCATTCATGAAAAAAGTTATTATATCAATCAGAAGATACGATAGATTTTTTTATGTGTAAATGAGCGATTAATTTAATCAAACTTTTTTAAAGATTGATCTTCTCCAATCACTCGATCGTGCAACACTTGCTTTCGATCAATTTGGATATTGTTTCAATTTGAAATAACAGATTTTTAAATTGATTAGTAATTAAGAATAAAAGTAAATAACATAACGATTTATTATAACAGTTGACCATCCGTGATTTGATTAGACGAACAATAATTAAAATGCGCGCGAACGCTTCTGCGTCTTTGAATTCGATTTTGAAGACAATTGTTTGTAATCGAAGATACTGGGATAATCTGTGGTCATCGCTGTCTCGTGATTACTTGATTTGGTAGTCAAAATCTAAATAATTGAAGCTCTGGTACGAGCGGACATTTGTGAGATCGAATTAAAAATTTTTGTTGACTTCAATTAATAATTAAAGATTTTGATCTGAAGATTTGAAAATTTTCGATCAGCTATTAAGCATTTATATAATGCTCGATCAAAGAGATAAATTGTGATTCAAGCGTTTTGTACCTGGTATAAAGATTAATAAGATAAATTGCCATTATAAAGATGTGGCTTTTTGAGAAAGAGCAAGAAAGAAAGGAAAGAAATACATAATATGTGATCGAGAACAAGTGCAAGTTTCTATGACGTTTATGCGAACGTTTATGTAAATCTCATAAAATTGATGTTTATAAATTGTGGAGTTCAGAGACGCGAGTTACGATAAACATTTTGCATCATGCGATTAACGAATTTGTAATGTTTGACAGATACAGGTACACCATGGTAGATGTATTCAAAAAAAATCGTAGATTCTTCAATTTCAACGCGAATTATGAATTTATTGTAATATTAATTACAATAAAAGACTACCGAACCAGGTGATCGTCGCAGATTCTCGTTCTTGTTCGCCCTCCAGATAAATTCCGCAAACATTCCGTGAATATTCTTATATCGATCTTCTTTCGAATCGCGAATAATAAGGACGATTGGTAATCAGCTTTTTACATTCGTTGTTTGTCATTTCGATTGGAAGAATCGATGTTATATTATTCTTGACCGCAAATTTTCTCGACACTTTTCCGATCGGAGAACGTCCTCGCGCGATGTACGAGGATCAAGCTCCAAGGACGAACAAGGACGATAGAAATTAACAGGGTGTCCGGGGAAAGAAAAAGAAACACCGAAATGCAGGAATCATCGAAAATTATTTTGATTATTATTGTTTTTTTTTTTCACAGCGATTTATTTCGATATCTCTGTTTTAATCTTTCGATCAGTCCCATTTTCGCACCTCGCCTCGAGCAAACCGTCAAGCTCCCTTTTCAATTTCTTGATTCGTCAAGCTGTTGCAACGTGAATTGATTGCGCGTTTCCGCGTTTCCTTTTTATTTACCTTTTTTTTTTTAAATAACTTGACAAAGACGGAACGCCAAGAGAGAACGGCGCGAAAACGGGACATTTAAATATTATTCTCCTTTCGAGAAAGGGACAAGAAAATATAAAATTTCGCGATGCGAATGGAAAAGGAAAGCTTGCACCATGGAGATGACATCACAAAGATATCTGTCCATTAGTATTTATATCGCATAAGCATGTGTTGATCCGTAGTTACAATACTGTCTCATTATTATGATTATATCTATTATTATTTAGTTACTGTATTATTATTATCTGGATATATATTTAGTTACTATTATAATATTATTATTACATTATTATAATATTATTCTTATTAATTCAGTTATTGTGTATCGTTATTACGTTATTATAACGCGGAAATACCGAGGGGAGAGACAATGCGCCACCTTGCCAGCTAGCCATCACTACCAGTAGTTTATCGCACTCATTGTCAGTAGTAATCCGACTGTGTGAGGCGCGCGCACACAAGATAAGAGAGATTAAATTCCATTCCTACGCATTACTCCTAAATAAGAAAATCGAGAGATGTACGTACATACGTGCGTGTGTATATGTGTGTGAGTGTGTGTGTGTGTGTGTGTGTATGTATGATGTATATATGTTACTATGTGCCTACGTGTGTATTTTATATATTCGTGCGCGCTCGCGTTATTAAAGATGAGAGACGCGCGCGAGATGAGAACGAGTACCGTTTCGACATATTGTCACTTTCTCACACTGTCAGCCTCTCTTCTTCCCTTTTTTTTTGTACTGGTTTGTTATGTTATTATTATTAATATTATTATATAATATTGTATTATTATTATTATTATTTTTAGATGATACAACTCGATTGTTCTTAATTTAATTGTAAATCGTATTTTTGTTTGTTTTTTAGTTATTTTTTGTTGTAAAATGCTTTTTAATAATATTTTCAGTTCACATTACGCACGAGCATTGTGGTCTTACTTTTTTTTTTCTTCATTCTCTACGTCTCTTCTCTACGCCTGCTGTTTCTGACAACGTCGACGGCCCCCACTTTGGAAAATCAATAGCTCCTCTTTTGAGGAAAGTCCATTTTGAAGCACATCGAATCACTGAAA